CCAGAAAATGTGCTACTATATAATAAATATATAAATAATAATATATAAACAAAATAATAATTTTTAAAATTAAATATAAATTGGACGGTAGTGGCGCATGCCTTTAATTCTAGCACTTGGGAGGCAGAGGCAGGGAGATCTCTGTGAGTTTGAGACCAGCCTGGTCTACAAGAGCTAGTTCCAGAACAGCTAGGGCTGTTACACAGAGAAACCCTGTCTCAAAAAAAAAAAAAAGATAAATAAAATAATATAAAATAAAATATAAAAAAATTCTGCTGTAAATTTCCTGGCAATAAAGTCTTACTGGGTATTTATTTCGAATTATACCTGGAAGGGTTCCTTTTAGCCCCTTGGAAGTCATATGAAACAGCTAAGGGCCTCAGTTGAGGAACACATCTGTTTATGCCAACTGAAAGTAACTCTTGCCCCATTATAATAATCACCAGACTCCAGTGAGGGTGTTGAGATTAAACTTTCCTTTGGCAACATACATCAACACATGTTTACGACAAGCTCTGCTGTCTGCCCTGTGTAGGTAGCATAGAACTGATGGAGGTCAGGCGGTCCCGAGAGGGAAACCCTTAAAGCCTTCTGAAGTCAGTGGTGGGTGACTTCTAGGAGAAGAACAAGACAGCAGCCAAGCTCAGCAAGCCCATGGACGGCATGTTTCCGGGTCACTCCGTCTATAGAATGTGTAGGATGGGAGGAGGCGATTGAGCTTCCCTGAACCCAAGAATAATGCCACCTTTGATCTGCAGAAATGAAAAAAAATGGAGCTTTTCCTTTGCAAGTGGAGTTTTAAATATTTCTCCATTAATAGTTAATGTGCAAGCAGGCCATCAGAATGACAGCTCCTCGCGATTATGAATTCTGGCTTCGTAACGCTAGTCCAAATAGGAGCTGAACTTTCAAAATCACGGTGGTTACTTTTGACAAATTAAATTGTCCTACTTAGGGAGGTAGAAAGAACGAAGAGCAGGACTGTGAGAGAGTGGGGGCAATTTCTCCTTGACTGGGAAAGAAAAAAAACAAGAAGGGATGATGTTTGTATTTTCTAGGCTGAAGGGACTGCCAGTGTTTATTAGAAAATGGACAGAGAAGACTCTTATTCGGAGGTAGGGCAAGAGAGAGAAGGGGGCAGGGAAGATGCAGCAGCCAGCTCATCTGACCATATCAAAACTGCAAAATATAATTGAGAGAAGAGTTCACTTTTAGTAAGAGTTGAATTTTCTCAAAACGATGTAGGTTCAAATTAATTAGAAAGAAAAGGATCTTAAATGTTTAGCAATCTGAAAACAAGAAGTGGATTAAGTGTGCTGTATACTTCATGGCTGTAGTGAGGCTTCTAAACTATGCCATCTTGTAGCAGCGTATTCTTTGCCTTTCCAATGTCATTCTGGCCCTGCCCATGTTCCTTTGTATTTGGCTGGTTTTGGATAAACAACATATAAACAAGAAGTATCCTACTCAGATAGGGTAGGTGGTTTTCCAGCAGGGACTAAAAAATAAAAGCAGACTGAGACAGCCAGGAAATCAGCAGCTAGTATAGAAAATACTAAGTGAACGCCACTTTCTGAGACTAGAAAACCTAGGTTTTACCTAACCTGACATTTCCAAAGGTGGACCTTGGGGGTCACTTAGGACTATACAAAAGTCTAGACACAACCATCTGTGCCAGGGAAAGATTTCAGTACTGGAACACCAAGCTACCCAGGGACAGAAGAACAAAGACTTGGGATGCTGTGATAGGAGGGACAATGGCTGACCTTGCCCATGTATGCTTTAGCTTTACCTTCACTCGAGAGTGAGTTCCTTTGGAAATTTCACAGCTATCCCTTTCAATTGTGTCACCTATTAAGAGCTTCATTTCTACTTTTCATTATTCTTTGGGATTTGAACCCAGGGCCTCATGTATGCCATGCAAGTGTTCTCCCATAAAGCTATTCTCCTAGCTGGGATTATATGTATGCATCAGGCATGCACTATCATGCTTGGTGTGTGTATGTGTATGTGTATGTGTGTGCGTGTGTGCATGCACGTGTGTGTGTGTGTGTGTATTTGTAATAAGTGAAAGGCATTTCTCCTGGTGTTAACACTTTCAATAAATAAAAAGGACCAGGAAGATAGCTCAGCAGGTAGAAATACTTGGTACCAAGCCTGAGGTCATGAGTTTGATCCTTGCCTCCCACATGGTAGAAGGTGAGAAGCGACTCCCATAAATTGTCCTCTGACCTTCACATGTGCAGAGTGGTACATGAAAATACACACACACACACACACACACACACACACACACACACACACTGTAAAAGAATGTAAAAAGAAATGAAGACAGTTAAAGTAAGATAGGTCAGGAATTCTCTGAAGTGGGTTCAGGTCATCTTACATTGTCACAGTGGCTCAGGAGTTAAGAATAGTAAACATTCTCTGATGGGAAGCAAGGTCCCACAAACATCCTTCATCCCCAAATATCAGTGATGTTTTTAGTAAGAATTTTCATAAAGCATTGCTAAACAGGGGTGGTGAAAGCCAATGTGAAAACTAAAGATGACCAAGATGGTTTCGTGGCGTTTGAAAGCCTAAGAAGACCCGCTGAACAATTAAAGAGCTCCAATCCTTCCAGATGCTCTTTAATCGATAGGTTACCAGTTCCCCTCTCATAAGTGGTCAGTTTAGTGGATTCCTGAAAAAGCAGATTAGAATAGAGGAATAGAAAATGCTGCCCTGACCCAGGAAGCCCTAGGGAGTCTTGGGCAAGACCTCAAACTAATTCTCAGTCATTTTTTCTATTATAGGCTTCCTAATATCATATCCTCAGGATTGCTTTGAAGTTTCCAGTTCTCTGCAACTGTTTGGGGCTCACACTAAGACCTTTGCAGACCTATAGCAAGGTTTCTTGGTAATGTTTTCTTTACAAAGCAAATGCACAGAGAATACTGGTTTATGCTGAAGTCCTAAAAGCAGAAACATGATGGAATGAGTCACAGATGAAAACAACACGATACAGATAATGTTTGGAAAAGTACTCTGACCCAGAAGGCCCCAGTGGGCGGAATAATCACCCTCAGTGTGCCAGAGTGGGAATTCTCAGGCAAAGGACTTACAAGGAAACCGCCAGAAAAAGACAACTGCTTTCTTCATTCGACAACTTCCTATTAATTGTGATGTAAATTATATGACTGTGATTTTTTTTTTTTTTACAAAGAATAGCAATGTTTCAGAAAATAGTGGCTTACATGCAAACTACAAAATGCCTCAGGAAGACAAGAAATGTTACTTGGCAGTGTGACTGCAGTAAGTTCTGCAGTACTGGTTTAGAAATGGATATTTTTCTAGCACTAAATTAATATAGATGTATAAATATTTTTCATATGTAATTTCTGATCTTGACATGAGGTGTGAAATAGCCTAACCACAGTTATATCCGTTTGAAGCTGTTACTCAAGCAATGTTATCGCAGAAAATCTTTTGGGTAGTGTGGACAGCTATTTTTTACAGAAAACAGAAAAGTCACCAAACAACATCAGTGCCGAACAGAATTTTTCAGAGAGTACAATGTCCCTATTTACTCAGCCCCTAGGGAGCCTATATCTTTTCTTAAGTAAGATGATTCCCAAGGGACAATAATTAATGTCAATCAGACACTGTAAAAGTATGTGTCTCTCTCCTTAGAGGAGGCAAAAGTTAAAATACTTTATGAAAGAAAGTTTACCTAAAATGGTAAAATTGAAGGCGATAACTTTTAATTGACCTTGGCTGTACTTCTCTTCCGTAAGAATTTTTAGAAAGCTGGAGGGTAGTTGTTTCTTGTCATTACACTGTTGCTGATTCTGTGCTTAGTTATTAATTTTATTTTTTATGATTCACAATCTGCTCTTTGAAATATGCCATATGCTCAAAGCAATTCAAGGATGACAACTGTCAGAATTACTCCAATAAAAATTGCTTAAATGAGAAAGATTTACTGCGGCTGATATTTGAGGAGAACATCCATCCCTCTTTCTTCCCCCACAGCTTTTCAGGGACGGTGCATCTTACAGTCATTTTTCCCCCCAGTAAAAATCACATGATTGTTTTGTAAGGACTTCTTAAGACTATTGAAATAGAATTGGTCAAACACTTTTGGTTAAGGGGGGAACTAGCAGACATGGAAGTAATATAGACAGCAATCACATGGATTGCCTGAAATCGATATGAATTCCAAGCAAGAATTCTAAAACCACCTGAAAATGCACAGACTTAATTACAAAGTCTGCTGCATGCGTCACTCGCATACCTTAGATGGCTCGAGCCCTATACTTTGGTAACAACAAGGCAAAAATCAAGGCAAATTTCTGTCTTCTAGGAAGCTCTAAAAGAGTGGATCAAATCTACCCGAGTGCTCCAATCCAAACACACTCTGTTCAATGTTACCAGCCAGTCCAGCCCGGTCTTTTCTTATTAATGGGGTTTCATTTATTGCTATTCATCATGACGATAAAGCTCTGCCCTCCTTCGGAATTACACCAAACGGAATGGGATAAAGGGGGCTTTCCCGCAGCTATGATGTCGGTCGGTGCAGCCTGTTAGCACGCTGGGAATGGAAATGAGTTTGGGGACAGGGGAGGGGATTCTAATAGATACCAGGATACATACAATGAACACAAAGCTATCGAGAGAGAGAGAGGGGGGGGGAGGGAGAGAGGGAGAGAGAGAGGGGGGGGCGGGGGTTGGTGGGTGGGGGGGGTACTTAGCACAAATAAGCCCTGGGTTCCATCCTAGTAAGGCATAAGCATTGTGGTACTGCATGCCTGTCGTCCCAAATGGTGGGGGGGTGTAGGGCAATTTCTCCCAGAAACAGGATCAAAGTAGAGCTGTTTTGCTCAAATAGAGGGGGGGGGGGGGGGGGGGGGGGGGGAGAGAGAGAGAGAGAGAGAGAGAGAGAGAGAGAGGGGGGGGGGGCTTGTCAGGCTAATCAGCTCCCCCACGGCGAGGCGAACGCAGGGGAGGGTGGCTCTAACCTTGTACAGGTGCTGCTGCTGCTCCTCTGACATCATCAGGTCGTGGCTGTCCATGACGAGGGACTCCATGTCAATCAGCCAATCCCAGAGCTCCTGATATTCTGAATCAAAGTCTAGAAGCCTGGAGATGAGACACAAAAATGTATTATGTATAAATACAGTGTAGTTGTTAAAAAATCTCATATTAGAATAATGTATTCTTGAAAACCCATGATAGGCCTAGGTGAATACCTGTACAAGGAGAAGGGAAAATCCTCTGTATGGTTACACAGAGGGCAAAGTAGGAACTGAAGGCTGTGACATAGCCACTTCGTAGATTTTGAAAGCAAGACATGTAGTTCCTGTACTTGCTCCTGAGTCACACCACGGTGACCACCATCTGCCAACCCTATCTGAACAGAGACCATGATTGTGTCCCTGAGAAGAAGCTCCGTCATTTCTCAGCCTGAGAAATGGAGGGTCTGGGACTTGCTGAAGATTCCGTAGTCCCAGATGTGGGGTAAAGACAGCACTTCAAAATCCTAATTGCTTTCTCGTTTACATTTACTAGATGTTGCTCCTCAGTAAGTTTATTCTTAAAAATATTATCGAGTTTTTTTTCAACAATGATAACGCTTGCTGACAAACCAAAAACATTATTTTCACTGGAAAACGACTCAATCTTTCATGCGTCCCTCTGCTGTCTATCTGTCTATCTCTATGTCATGTATCCAACATGTCTTGTCATGGGTGAGTAGCTAGCACTTCAGGGGAACACTCAGAGATAGGCCTGAGTGACTGGGGTAAGCCAGTGAGGACCAGAGGCAGAGCCAGCCTTAGACAGGTGTTCCCCACAGACACGCAGGAAACAAAGGTAAGGACAGGAAGTCAAAACAATGAATCTTTGAATAGCCAGCAATCATTAAAATTCAAAGGAGGATCACTATGGTTTTCAACAAAATAAATCATTAGAATAAGGAGCTTAGCAGGATTAATGTGATTCTCTATTGAAAGCCTGGTGAATAAGGAAAGCCCCAATTCGTTTACAACACTGTGATCAGAAAATGAAAGTACAGGGTGAAAACTTGGAGTTTGTCCTCCCACCTCCAAACCACCCTTCAGAGAAATACAGTTTTGTCGAACTCAGCGGGGGGCAAATTTCCTGCTAGTGCTCATAAAGCATTGACCAGAGCTACGAATGTAGATTTGCCAATGGAGGATTTGAGTACTGCTCTGTTCTTGTCTCTTGCTGTCAGATCGCTTTAAAAAAATACACTTAATAGATAAATCAGTAGATCAGGGAGCGGGAAGACTAAATCCGGAGCTGCCTACGTTGCTCTAATTGTTTTTGGATCCTTACAAACACTCTTGATTGTGGAACTGGTTAGGGAGTGTTCACTAGTCGCCAGTGGTCTGTCTAGCTGCTGCACACACAAATGGTGGCCTACAACCACGCTTCTCAAACTCAATGAAGATAGGGGCACAGCTGATGATTCTAGAAAAATGAAGGTACTAACTCCTACTTGGGGAGGAGGGTGTAATTCTGCATTTCTAAGAAGTGTCTTCAATGCTTATAGTTCAGGGACCACACTCCGAGGAGCCAGGGGTTTCCAGTAACCTTGTGAAATCTGAATTAGAATTCCTACTTCACACAAACCAACCACTATAGAAGGATAAATGAACCACCAAGATTTCAAAGTTAGTCTGTGAACAGTAAGAAAGTCTTTGCTTGTGTGATCACTTAAAAATAACATTTGAAAGTATGGCTGCCACTTCCTTTCCCGTTGCCTTCCAATATTTTACCAATAAAAATTGGGGGAAGTGAAATGCCACCCACAATATCTGGAGAGTAGGATATGTGGAAATATTAAAACCAAAGGGAGAGATAAATGAATTATCTTCATTGACGTGAGCTTGGAGAGCATGAACCATGTAAAGACAGGAGGAGGAGACTCTTTGACATCCTCCCCCTTCTCTTTTGGCCCAAGTCTTAGAGAGGAAGCATGTGAGGAAGGCTAGTAGGGAGGAAAAAAAAAAACAACCCATAATCCTCAGCTCCATCTCCTGCTAGGGACTATAGTGATTGTCTTCTGTGGTATATCTCCAATAAGCAGGATTGAGGGAGGATGGGAGGATAAGAGAATGGTGGGAGTGTGGGAATAAGGGGAGGGGAGATATAGGGGGAGCTAGTTTTGATTAACCTCCCGTTGACATAGTCTTCTCCAAGAAAATGCCAAGATTTCTAAAAGTTCAATGGCTAAGTTAATTGGAAGTGTTGCCATAGCAACAAAGGCACAGTGAACCTAAGGGCAAGCAGGTGGGGGTCCACATGGGCATGCGATGCCAGGCCTCTTTGAAATTTGGTAGTACCCATAAAGGCTGGGATGAGGCTTAGTCAGCAAGAATCGCATAAATAATGACATCTTGAAATTTGCAGGCAAATGGATGGATCTAGGAAACATCATATTGAGTGAGACAACCCAGACCCAGAAAGACAATTATCATATGTATTCACTCATAAATGGATTTTAGACATAAAGCAAAGAAAACCAGCCTACAATTCACAATCCCAGAGAACCTAGACAACAATGAGGACCCTGAGAGAGATATACATGGATCTAATCTACATGGGAAGTAGAAAAAGACAAGATTTCTTGAGTAAATTGGGAGCATGGGGACCATGGGAGAAGGTTGAAGGGGAGGGGAGAGACAGGAAGGGGCACAGAAAAAAATGTATCGCTCAATAAAATCAATAAAAGAAAGAATTCCACCAGGGCCTGACCAAGCTAATAGATAACAAGAAGTAAAACAACCACAGCTGTCTTCAAGGTGCAAATTGCTTGCAACAACCTAGCTAGCCTGTACCAAAACCCTATGTTTAGCCATTGAGGTCAGGAATCCCAAGGTCTTCAAAACTTGTTTGCTCAACTGTCATCTCAGAGAAAAGGTTGGAGAATAAGAGATATGAGAACCTGAGCATCAACTACGATATTGCTCTCTTAGGAGAATGAATGAGTTGAAGTGGTTAACATATAGTTAACACTCCAATGCTGATCTTAAAAATGCTTCCTTCCTTTATTCTCTGAGATGTTCTGTTTTGGTTTTGGTCCCTGTCATTGTGGTGGTTTGAAAGAAAATGGCCTTTCTATTAGTTCTTACGATGAGCCTTAGAACAAGCTGTCTGTTGCTGTTGAATTCTTAGCCTACACTGGAGACCCGGGCCTGTGAGACGAGACGCACAAAGATGCTCTACACATCTCCAAGACTCTCTCCTCTTCGCAGCTGAGGATATTTAGGTTTGATACTGCATTTTAAAGATCTACTTCACAAGTTCTCTGTGAATGCTTTGCTAACATGTTTTGGTTTTTTGATGTAGAATCTGCACCAGTGTCCCCCATAAATTATCACAAAGTCCTTATGCAGAAAGCAAGAAAGATTTTGAAAAAAGGCAATAACTTCATAGCAAATAAGAAATTGGTTCCTGAATTTCTTGGTTGACTCTTGTGAAACATTCTGAAATGTTTACTATTTTATGTGCACACCATTACAGGCAACTTTGTAGGCTTAGAATTTGTTAAGACTTCTTTATCTTTATATTACTTCAAAAGTAATAAGATAAAATTTTTCAAATGATTTGATTGAGAGGCAGTATCTTCTACATCAAGTGTCAACTACTGTGTAGTAAACAGAAAGGTCTCATTTCTTGACTCTATCACAGTGGTACCCCAGAACTGACTAGCAGCTCTTTTTGCCCTTGAAGCATATGCCAGTTGGATCAACTGAATTCACACCCAGGTGCTTTTGTTGACTTTCCAAGTGAAAAATATCCAGGTCTCTCCTTCAACAGAGAAGAGGTAACTAACTGATAGTGCAGTTAAGTGGCAGGGAATTCATAAGGGGTTACATTCCCATGCGTATATGAACACTATCAAGTTGATTGGGTTCTTTTCCTTTTCTTCTGCAGACAGAACGGCGATATACATTAGCGAGGCTGACATAGTTTCAGAAATGTCTCTTCTCTTGCATCCTGATGGGAATTCTGCTTGACTAGCTAAGTGTTTAATACACAAATGCATTCGGCCTTTGGTATTTAAAGTGGGCATCATTAACTCAACATTTCAACTTAAACTTTGCTTAAACGATGAAGTTTCACCCAAGTGAAATCAATGGGAGGTGTGTGTGAATATATGAGGTTTTATCTTGACCTACAGAGGAATTCTGATTAAAACAGACAACCAAATTAAGGAATCATCAAATTAGAGTGATTATTGGTTGAAGAGAAGGAAATGCTAACGTGCTCACTGCTTTTCTATCTTAAGCTGAGTATTATTTGCACATACGTATATATTTCATCCATACATGTACCCTTTCAATGATTCATTCACACTAATCAGCATCTAAAAATATCCACCTGCCTATACTAAAAGTTTTATTAAATGACCCAAGTTTCCTAGCTTCTTTAGGATATTGATTCTTTCCCCAAATATTCACTAAGTATTCACTGTTCACACTATTTGAGCAGGGCCGTTTGCTCCTGGTTTAAAAAAAATTGAAAAAAAAAAGACACAAAAGGAAGTGATAAGAAAATCTTACAAAATATATCATTTAAGTGATTTGCTGAAGGAAAATATTAATGATACTTGGGACTCTCCCACTAATATCTACCCCATGTAGAATGTAAGCATGGGAGAGGGATACAACGGAGGCATCTAGCCCAATCATAATATCATTAAAGAATAAAATTCAGCTTTCCAGGAGTGGAACCTGTTGGGTAGAGTTGCATACAGAATCCCTTTTCACTCTAAACATGTTACAGTGTGGACACTAATTTACTATTTTGAATGAAAATTCATGAGCAGCTGCCTTAGAAGATAAGCCCGACTTTGCCCTTAGTAAATAAAAAGAGTATGGAATATGGAGTTCTTTTCAGAAGTAATTCTCTATCTATCTATCTATCTATCTATCTATCTATCTACCTATCTATCTATTTATCTATCTTTATCTATATGTGTATATATTATATACACATATACACATATGTATATAGGCGTATATATGCATATATGTCTACGTATATGTGTTTTACATATAATACAAATATACACATATACAGATGTTAAATTATCTAAGAAAAGTAAAATCAAGACTAGAAACTTGTTAATGATTGGTCTTTGCTTCTCCTAGACCATCTGCCCACTAACACCAATCACTGAAACTACAGACATAATCCATATATTTAGATATGCCCACATTGATTTCTGAGTGTTTTTTTTTTTTTTTTTTTTTTTTTTTTGTCCTTTACAGGATTCTGTCTGTAGGGTTGTGAGGAAGTAAAACTCTTGACCAACTTATTAGATCAGCCGTTGAACTAAAAGCTTCCTGACGTATTTTAGCACAAAATTCAGGAGAGCAAAAGAAGAAACTATATCTCTGAAGACAAAGCCAGGGGCACCAGTAGTTGTTTAGAAACAAGCCTTCCATTATTGTATTCACTGAAGAGACTCAGGATCCAGGACAGCTACTCGCATGCTGCTGTGGCTTTAGGAGCTCACCCCTTAGTAACCCCCCCCCCTCAGGCAGCATTAGTTTTCAAGGGTTTAATAGGAAGCATCTACCTTCAAGTTACGACACGAGTAAACCTGAAAATAATTTTCTACTGCCCAATCTTGGTAAGAGAAGTCTGGTAGCAAAAGTTTGCTTAAGAGGCCTTTGTCTCCATGGAGACTGACACTGTTCTGAGTTCTGTCTTCAGGTTTTAGGTACTTATCAACTACTACTGAGTTATCCTTAGGTGTTATTTGTGCAGGCCTAAAAATGTGAGCCTATTTCCACTTTGACCAAAGGTCAGAGAGTTGGAACTTACCTCTAGTTCTTCAAGGTTATTATATTTCTACCTCAAACAAAGGTCCCACCTGCTCTCTCAGTGTTATTGTCAACAGGTGTGGCTAATAGATCTGGCTCCAGGAATAGAGAAATAGATTGTTCCTACCTCAAACCAGAGTATAAGGAGCCAACTAAGTTCCAGTTCCCAACATTGGATTCCACCCAGGGAGTGGTTTGCCTACAGAATGTTGTGATCTAGACCGGTTTTGTTCTAGCAACTTAAAGTTTAACTACAGGTTGTAGCCTGTCACCTTCAATTGGTGTGCTCATTTCCTTGTATTCTGTTAATCCAGTCTTTTATCTCACTCCTACCTTTTGGGTCAGGGGTATTTAAAGCAATTGGAAACTAAATGCAGGCAAATTCCAGTACTCACTGGCACTCCCTCCCGATACTATCCGATATGTTTCTCCATTTTATTATTTTCTTTCACTTCTTCATATTCTTTACTAATATTTTCTAAATCCTTATGCCTCTACCCTGGCAAGAGGTGTTTTTTGTTGAGGATGGTCCCCGACAATTATTGTGCAGCTCACATCCCCAAACTGAGAGTTATGATAACATAATGTAATCTGCTGGACTGGTCTGTCACCTGGGTACCCTGTTCCCTTAAGAGACAAGCCCTGCCCACTCCCAACCTCCCCTTCTACCAAGTCAAGCCATTGCCAGCCTCCTCTCCAGTTCATTTGTTCTCTCTCTGTGTGTCTCTGTCTCTGTGTGTGTGTGTGTCTCTCTCTTCCCTTCTTCTGGAGAGGAAGCTTCTGTTTTTCTCCTCTCTTCCTTCTCCTTCTCTCTTCTCCCCTTCCCTCCTGCTCCATAACCCACTAAATAAACTCTATACCCCAGCTCTCTCTGCATGGTGTATCTATCTGTCTCTCTCCCACCAGGCCTCAGGCAACTTGCCAGGGGACCTGCCAAGGTCTCAGGTGACCTGCCATTGCCCCTCGTAGGACCAATCCTCCACCACCTATTTATAAATGATAACACAGAGATACCTTTCTCTCACTTGAGAAGCAATAGAAGGGGCTGAGGGTGTTTTTAATGATAAGACACTTCTGTGGAATGCACAAGGGCTTGGATTTGATCAGTGCACTGTAAGCAAACAGCAGAACCACCTATAGGAAAGTAAGTTAGGTACTATCTCATTGTGTAACTTAGGGGAAAAAGATTTGCTTTCCCCCGTTGGTTTACTCTGTCCCCGCAAGAGAAAGCATGAGGGATTGACTCCATGGCAGTAGGACATGGAGGTGAATTTCTCACATGGACACTGGTCCGGGAACCAGAGAATCAGTATAGAATCATAGGTGAATATGAGGTACATCTTCAATGATCCACCTTGGCTTACCAGGTCTCTAGGTCCCAAAGTTTCCGCAACTTCCCAAAACAATGCCATCAGCTGGGTACCAAGTATTCAAAAAATATATCAAACACATTTCACATTCAAATAACAAGGGGAAATTTCTGTCTAGTCTTAGTGACTAAGAGATTGCTTCAAACTGATAGATAATGTTTTTAAGACTATGGATTGATAATGAAGTGAATTTTTTTTTCTTTTCTTTGGAGGATTGAACTCCTGGTAACAAATCATAGCCACTCTTGAGGATATGCAGTGTGAAAAGTCCTTCTGTAAATATGTTGCTTTTATTGGTTAATGAATAATGAAGCTGGCTTGGTATGTGCTGGGGCAGATTAGAGCTAGGCGGGGAAAACTAACTGAATGCTGGGAGAAAGAAGGCAGAGTCGCCAGACACCATGCAGCTGCCAAAGGGGAAAGACACAAGCTGCCAGCTGGAACTTGTCGGTAAGTTATGAGCCTCGTGGTAAAATATAAAATGATGGAAATGGGTTAATTCTAGATGTAAGAGCTAGCTAGCAATATGCTTAAGTGATTTGCCAAGCAGTGATTTAAATAAGATAGTTTCTGTGTGACTTTTTTGGGAGTCTGGGCAGCTGGAAAATGAACAAGCAGCCTCCTACTAAAGATATGTATTAAATATTCAATTCAAAATGTTCATATTATCATTTTATTTTTCCTAAGTTATTTTAATGAAGCTTTTTTGTCTTATTCACAATAGTTTTTGCAAAATGACTCATGTCTTTGGGGAAGAAGATGGGAGAATGATCAAAGAGAATAACTTTGAAAGAGTTCTGCTCTGCACACTACAATGTGTTTGGTGAACTTTATCCTAGGGGCCTTTTCGAGATCTGTTAGCCTTTTAATCCTCTACAGCACCCATCAGTACCCCCGAGCTGTAGAGAGAAGCAATATACATAAATCTTTATTAGTTGACTACACTGCTATCTTTGAAGTCATGCCTCCCTGCAAAGTAGACTTCCAGTCTCTGATTTGCTGCTTGTCGGCTCTGCTATGGATGGAGTTAGAGCATTACAGAAAACTGCCTAAGACCCTATTTAATGAATTTACATATCCCTGGAATAAAGTCTCATGGTACCACATGAGTACATCTCTCTTGGCTAGTGTTCTCTGTATGTTTTAGCCCCCAAAGTATCAGGAATCTCCAGGGCTCCAATGATCTTACTGTTTATTCTCCTAGGTAGCTGGGAATATAGGCACACATCACTGAGCCTGGCTATTTTTTTGCTTTCTTGACTAAATGTTGCATTTTTATACTTTTACTCACCATAGAAGGAGCCAAAAGGATCTGAATCAAACACTGATCAGTTACTATATTGGGACAAAGAGAGAATCAGAAGGAGTAGGAATTCAGGAAGGATTGATGGTTTATTGAGGGTGTCTACTGATTTAGCTTATCTGTAAGGAAAATTTCAATACTGGTGCATGTAAGAGAGAGTGTGTCATTTCTAGGACTGGTGGGAAACCCATATTTGATGTAAGCAGGTTCCAAATATACTCACTGAGCAGAAATTCAAAGTGCTCTGTGTGTGTCTGGGGGGGGGGGGGAGGTGAGCAAGCACATCTGCATTCTATTGGATGGAAACTTGTGGCCTATGGCTCAGTAGAAGCCCAGGAAATCACCTGCAGCAGTGAAATCCAGGGTGATTATGTCTCTTCTCAGGTGTTTAAAGTCACTCAGCGTATCTTATTGCTTAATTAATTTAGAGAAACAAACCTGGTCTTTAATCAAGCGATATTTTAAATAGTGATTCGTTTCTTTTCACGTGTCAATAGCGGTTCTCTTCGGGGATGTTGTTGACACACTTCTGTGTGTTTTCACACTGATCAGGAGGCGAGTCTCTTCCTTGTCTCTCCCGTCACACTCCTAACCTTTTGTCATTGTGCAGGAATAATTTATATATGGCCGGGAAGACATTTCATGCTAAAATCTTGTATGATGAGGAAATGACATTTCTATTTTCTTCAATATAAAATATAACCCTCAGCTACATCGCTCCAGTTTCCAGCAAGCTTTGTTCAATTTCCTCCAGAGGCAGGGGAAGCCTTGAACACGGATAATGAGGTATCTTCTAAAAGCTCCCTTGGGAAGACCTCCTGCTCCAGGCAAGCAGAGTTGGGAATATCTCTGTGCATGCCTTCAACATTAAATGAGCTACACAATCTTCACTGCACACCCTCTGCACACTTCCTGTCTAATAGCCACTGGCCTCCCCCTTCCCCTCCTCACCATTTACTACATTGCGCACATCTTTTCAGGTAAGTCACGTGTTCTTTCCAAAATATAATATTTACATAATAAATAATTCATTTACTGATTTCACTTTTAGTTTTTGTATTTTCTTACAAATTGTCACATTTTCTAGATGCAGAAATTGGCATGAGTAGGCTAGGACAATAACTCCCATTTTATATTCCCCTGTGGAATCTTGGAGAGATTAAATGTCTTAATCAAACTTGTGTAGCCACAGAGGAGCGAGGTGCCCCTGAAATCTGAGTCTTAGTTTGTAACCTGGTACATGTTCTCACTGACAAATTTAGATTAGAGAGAACATATGACTGTCTCTGAAGATAAACATTATTTGTGCAGTTAGAAGTATTCTAAGTCTATCTAATATAGATAACCTATAAATTTTAAAAATATTCTTTATTCTCTAAAAAATATCCAGGCATATGATATCTTGATTATATCTGCCCTCTGCCCCTTCCCTCCAGTTCAACCTCACCACCCCAACATATCTCCTTCCTAACTTCATGTCTTCTTTTTTATTTTCAAAATGATATTTGTTTGTTTGTTTGTTTGTTTATTTATTTTACATCCTGACTACATTTTCCTCTCCCTCTTCTCCTCCCATCCCCTCCTCTATGAGGAATAACTTCCCAAGGGTCAGCCAAAATATGAGAGACAGCCCCTTCTCCCATTGTTAAGATTCCTACAAGTAGACCAAGCTACACAATTGTCACATAGCTTAGGTCAAGCAGGCTCCCTGGTTGTTCATTCTGACTGTGAGTTCCTATGGGCCAGGTTAGTTGTTTCTGTGGGTTTTCTTGTCTTGTCCTTGACCCTATTGGATCCTACAATCTTTCCTCCCTCTCTTCAGCAGAATTCCTCGAGCCCAGGCTAAAGTTTGGCTGTGGATCTCTGCATCTGTTTCCACCAGTTGCTGGATGAAGGCTCTCTGATGACAATTATTTTTCTTATTTTTTTTTTAAAATAACTCATTGAGTCAAGTTAGTACTGCCCATATGTGTATGGGTGTGGGGTTATCCACAGAGACATGGACAGCTTATTAGGGCCAACACCAGGAAAGAAAAGAGATTCTCTCTCCTCCTGCAGTCATCAACAGGCAGTCTCTTCCAGTTGTAGGACACAGTAGCCCCTCTCCTAATAGCGGTCTGCCCTCGGCATGGGCATGCACAGGCATGGGCATGTTGGGATGTTAAATAGTCTGCTGTAGTGTGGGTCTTGTGTAGACATGAGCTTTAGCTTAATAATAGGCAATAATGGTGAACTATAGCCCTCCATTACCTCCAGCTAAAATGCTACCTGGAATTCTTGATTCTGTAATCTTTATTTTAGAAGTTTTGTGTAACATATCAGGGAAAGATTCTAACTGAAAAAAAAGTCATAATTATTCACAGCGCCTCAGCTTTCTAAGTCTCAAGATTACAGGCAATGGGATTGTGTTATTACACTTGGCCTCTTAACTAAACTATGTAATTTTTTTGTGTGCTAATATATTCTCCATTTTTTATCAGAATACTGGTTTGATGGTATATGCGTGTGTGCATGTGTGTGCATGTATGTGTGTGCATTGTGTGTGTCTGTGTGGTGCATGGACATGAATGTGCACACCGGTGTGCACCCATGTAGAAGCCGGAGTAGGATCTCAGGGGATGCCATCCATCATTCTCCACCATTGCCTCAGACAGGGAATCTCATTCTGGCTAGGTGGGCTAGCCTGTGAGTTCTCAGAGACCCATCTCTACCTCTGACACCACACCCCCACCCCAGAGCTTATGTAGAGGGCTCAGTTTTTATGTGGGGGCTGTGGATTCAAAGTCATGTCTTTGCGCTTGACGGTTAGGCACTCTATGTCACTGAGACACCTCTGCAGTCTGTGGAATACTGTGGCTTGTCAAGCTGACACTTCCCTTACTGTCTTAGCTGACTTCACAGATGTCTTACTTGGGGGAACAGACATTTTGTCACTTCCAAGACTATACCATCCTCTGTTGAGTTATATTTGCCTGTTGAAATTCTTTGTATCTCATTGACTTCATATCCCAATGCCTTGTGTGACCTCTGTTTAAGAGTTACTCAGTAAACACTGTCTTCAGCGGCACCAAAGTCCTTTGAACTGGAGCACTAGAGTGCCTCCCCACCTCTCGTTCCCTTCATCCCGCAGTCCTCTAAGGATGATCCTCTATTCATTATATCTTCCATCTTCACACTTTTTATCATACTTTACATTAACTCCTAATCAGAAAATCTCCACTGTCCAAAGAAGCACTCCCCAAACTTCTAGAAATCACTCTTGGAAGCTTGTTAGCTTAGGGTGAATGTACTCTCTAGTCCCAAATTCTCTGAATTCCTAGGTAGGTCTGAACTGAAACCCAGAAATGGTACTTTAGCAAATCCATCCAAAGTGTTGATGTTGCTGGCCCAGAGGGCACACTCTAAAAACCACTAAAACAGGTTCTCAGCATGTGATGAGCTTTTGGGCCTAATTTTCCCCACCCCCACTATCCCTCACCTCCACTCCCCACTCCCCACCCCCACCCTGCCTATAGAAGGAGAATTTTAGGCTGGTGGGCCTAGCAGGAAAGGAATACCTTCAGCTTTAATGTTCCTCTGGCGATCATGGCTAAGACCATATACTCCATGATTAAATCCAGGGTCTGGAGTTGACTTCCTTCCCAATCATTTTCCCCCATTCCTTCAACATTCTACCCTGTGTCCCAGAGTGGAACACGGTTGGCAGTCCACTAGGCCTTTGCTCCCTATTTGCTGGCTCCACAACAGGTTTAGATACTTATCCATGCGAACACCTAGCACATGCCAGGCAGCCTATCAGAGACAAGGGAAAACGTACAGAACGCAGGACGCTGCTGTGCCTCACGCATCATCTCATCAGTTTTGGGCACGCCGTTTTGTTATGAGATAAAGATGTGCTACATTCATTTGTGCTGTGGACCATTTGTTTAATGATGCAAAGATGTGTTGCATTCTTTTATGTTGCATTTGTTGTTAACTCTGTGAAGCTGTGTTATTTTGCTTGTCCAAGACACCTGATGGGCTAATAAAGCTCTGAATGACCAATAGCTAGGCAGGAGAAGGATAGGCAGGGCTGCCAGGAAGAGAGAAAAAGTAGGAGGTGAAGAGAAGAGGGAGGAGCCAGAGAAAAGTAGGAGAGAAGGACACCAAAGACCAGTCACCCAGTCACATAACCAGCCCCCAGGTAAAAAGAAAAGAAAGATATATAGAATAGAGAAAGTTAAAAGCCCAGAGGCAAAAACTTGATGAGATAATTTAAGAAAAACTGGATAGAAACAAACCAAGCTAAGGCTGGGCATTCTGAAGTAAGAATAAGTCTCCGTGTATTTTTGGGGGGAGCTGGATGATGGGCCCCAAAAGAGTTAAAAGAAACTATACCCCCTACACCCCTTCCCCTCTCCTACTGCACAGCTAAATACCCACTTAATGCCACACTAAAGAGCTGTGATCTGACTTTGTGGTGTTCAGTAAGCACATTTCAGAGTACAATGAGAAATTCTGTCACCTCCAGGATCCTCTCTGTTGTCTTCCCAGCCTGCTCTAGGTCTGGACACGGTCATAATCGAGTTCAGCTGTCCAGAAGGCTGTTTCTAACTCAGTACCTAGGAGACTCCATATCATTTAGGCTACAGATCTGCCCGTTCCTAAAACTAAACTCTGAGTTTCCAAGTGTGAATACCAACCCACTGTCTCTACACACAGCTCGACTACAGAAAGCACTTTACAACGCTGGTCTGCTTGATGACCGAATTTGGGTTTTCTGAGGATTTTATTCTGCCTTTTGCATCCAGGGTCTCACTACTCTTGAAGTCTTTGGCTCCAGCGAGCTTTCGGGCTCAGGGTCCACAAGCAGCTGAACTCACAGGCAAGCTTCATCATAGGGCATTTTGCAGTTTCTTGCCAAAAACATCCTTGTGGAATGAAATCTCCTTAGGGCTATTGGTTTCTTTCTTTTTTTTTTTTTTTCCATTGTCAGTTTTACACAATACAGAATTTTCACAATGCAAGATTTATGATAAAATTCTGTCAAGGGTAGAGTTCAAATCTTCACAGAGGAGATAGTGTAACTGTTTAGATTATCTGCCTTTTTGTTTGGGTTCTGCTGTTTGTGGTGGGAGTTTTGAGATGGGATCTTGCTGTCCACAGCAAACCCTCTGCCTGTCTCATTCTCCTGAGATGCTGAGACAGCATGTGTGCAGCCACCCCAACAGCCATTATGTTCTTGACCTAGGGTTCTGAGCTATGGCTTGTAGCTCCATCTTAAAATCTTCTACGCTGAGTTAGTGAATCATTAAGCTGTTGGATGTTCTAATTCCTAATTTGTATGTTGAACCGAGGACATAAATAATCATCCAAACTAAGTTTTCTCAGCAAGGACAGAGCTATTTAATACATTGGACCACACATTTGAAAAGTGAAATTAGATAACATCTTCAAAGGAGCAAACACCTGAAAAGGGAGATGGCTACTGTTTACGAAGCATACAGAATGCAAGCGGTCCTGATAAGTTACACTTAGAACATTGAACCACGCACAAAGTAGGGCCTCATGAAGACTTACTTGATGAAAGGAACAAAACAATCAATATTGCTCTCACTTAGATAAAAAGTAATGGTGTTTATTTCCCCGGAGGATCACAGAGACTCACATATATCAATAGGGTTTATCTCTTGCTGCCTAACCCGTCTAAAAGTGAAGAGGGTGACAGCTTATATTTTATTAAGTATGATAATCACTACTCCAGGCCACCCAGGAGTCAGGGTTCCATGATGGTATGCATAGGACCACAGACAAACATGCTCTATCGCCAGAGCACGTTCCTTCATGTTCCAGAAAACCCTCCCACCACACCCATCCAGGATTGCTAACCACAAAACTGATAGCTGGGTATGAACTTTGATATACCACCCTGATAAGCACCTTCTCACCAAGCCAAAGTGGCTACAAACTCATTTCAAAAGGAGTATTTTTTTGTGACACAAAACTTGTAGAAATTTAAGAACACCATTCATTATAGCAGCTGTGTCTTCCCTGTAGAATTCGTAGACAACTATATTTGTACACACGGTCTGAGCATGCGTGTGAGAATGAGAGGCTATGAACTGGACTACAGACATCATTAGTCTATTGGATTTTTGCATTTGAAATACAGACCCTGGGAAGCCCACGCTATTCCCACATTTATTTGTTGGAAACAACGCTCATTTTACATATATATACATATATAAATATATATATGTATATGAATAGTTAGTGAGGTTTAGCCATCATTGGAGTAAGTAATTTTAGAAGGCTGTGTTTTTCAAGCTTCAGAATTACAGATCTGACTGTGGGAGCAAGTCTTGGGGGCAAGACACCTCTGATAACCTCACCCACAGACATTCCTCAGACAGAGCTTTCCTGTGTGTCAGCAAGGACTAGAGCGCAGCAAAGGTTTCTGTTCCTACTATTAAATGGCTGGCTTGCCTTCACTGCACTCTTAAATTTCTGCACAATGCGCAGCCCTCAGCACCCTAAGGAGCACAAACAAAGGCTATCAGGAAAGTTCACCCACTCCCACGTCACAGAACAATGCTCGTTGCTAACTAAGCAATTCCCAGGGCAGATTTATGATGTCCGGAGCCCAGTGCCTGCGCTCAGGTTGGGCCCTTGGAATCTGAGGTCAAGGCACGCGGTGCTGCGCAATCCCAAGGCTTTCAGAAAACACGAGAATGTGACCTAAAGTCTGTGCGCGCATGCACGCCAGAGAGGGCTTAGGGATTTTGAGAAATGAAAGCTCATAAAGGCCCCCAAACAGCTTATGGTTCATGCTCTAAGATTCAACCTTGTCCTTCTCACTTGCTGCTGACCCCCCTTCCCAGTGAATAGCAGGTCTCCCGTGTAGAACACAACCCTGCTAGAATGGCAAATAGAAATTATTTCTTCTCGATTCTTACAAAAATCATGACTCTGGTATTTTTCTTATATTCTTATACCCTGAGTTATTGTAACAGGACAGAATCTCTAACTTATGAGCTAACTTAGCCCGCAACATTGTACAAGGGTTGTGAGTCCATTGTAAATCTAAGTGCTTCGAAAGGTCAGTGCAAGTGGGCATAGTGGTACACCTTTAATTCTAGCAGAGAAGCAGGTGGATCTCTGAGTTCGAGGTCAGCCTGGTCTGCACAGTGAGTTCCAAGACAGCCAGAGGTATACAGTGAGACCCTGTCCCAAAAATGACCCCCACCCCAATAAAAAAAACGATGCACCCAAGGGCAAGAAAGGGCTTTCTCTTCTGTTGCCTTTCAGGGAATATTCTGGATAGAGTTATTCCCACAAGTTTATATCATACTATAAACATGTAATATAACTCTGGAGACCAGGGTCTATCTCCTGCTGCCTAAAAAGGGTGACTGCTTATATTTTACTAAGTATAATTATTACTAAGCTATTAAAACTATGAGATAATTTAACTTCATCTCTTTTCCTCTTTAATGGTCATCTATTAAATATTGAAATTGCACTAGAAAACAGAAATATATAAATACACTGGGAAATGTTTGTATTGCTTTATGGGCAGTAGGAAATACTGAAGGCTATGGGCAGCGAGTCCTAGCTAAGTGGAACCATACATCTCAAGCTAAACCAAAGAGCTCCTGGGTCACTGCCGCCACCACCACGGTTCACATACTATAAACAGCTTGGGTGTTAGCTTTTCCAGGCACTGTAGCACATACTTGTCACCTCAGCACTCAAGGTGTAGAAGCAGGAGAATTGGGAGTTCAAGGTCAGCCTTGGCTAGAGGTGAGCTCAAGGCCAGCCTGGATTACCTGAGACCCTGTCTCAAACACTAAAAACAGAGTCAAGAACTAGCCCATAATTCCAGCTGATTTTGTGTGACTCTAAGTAGCTAGCCAGACCATGGTCTCTAAATCACTACTAGGTCTCTATACTATGTTCTTCCAAGTTTCCAATAAAGTTCTTTTGTTTAGAAGTATGATAAACAAACCTTAACATAAACACTGAGGTCAAAGCAAGGGGCGATATACAAGTTTGAACACAATCTATGCAGAAGAAAGACCAATATTATCATAAAATATAGTCTCAAAAATACTCCTAAGAAACACAAGGCTGACCGTCTTTTACAAGATAGTAACAAAGTTCTGGCTTAGATGGTAGAGGCTGATAAAACCCACGGTTCTTGTCCAGCCCTCCATCAAACCTTTCCTTGTGTCTGTTAGCTAGGAAGGAAATTCCCGCGTGCCACCTAACCAGGGACGTGGTTGAAAAAGCAAGTTAGAGAGAATGAAGCAGAAAGGACGGAATGACAGTCCCTTACCCATTGCTTCCCACCGAATGCGTCTTGGACATATCAGCGAACTCCTCTTTTCTCTTGCTGCCGCTGGAGTACTGCTCGCTGTAGAGCTTGAGGGACATTTGCTCGACAGCATCTCTCTGTGCTTCCACGTAGCAGAGCTGCACCTCAGCCTGCAGAGAAATGCAGAGGAGAACGGCTCTCTTAGTCCAGCAGGAATGCATTTCCGTGAGGGACAGCAGCTTGAAGGAAGGGAACTGTTCACATCATTACACGGCCTGTGTAGGGTTGGATTTAATGGGATCAGCTGGGCATATTACAGAATTACATTATAGATCTGAATCTTATAAGTTCTTTCTTAAAATACGACCTGAATAAATGAACTCTCAGAAGACCCAGTAAATATTACAAAGTATCCCTGAGATCATAACACTGCATGATAAGACTTTACATAAAAATGCTGCGGAATTCCTTAATAATACTCTTCCTCACACGGTCACATATATATCCTTTTTTAAAAGAAGTCTCCATTCAATTCATACACTGGGGTGTTACACACACACACACACACACACACATTTCTTTTTTGAATTTTTATTTTCTTCACTGGGGAGAAGTAAAATACCTTTTTTTAAATTCTAGTACATGTTTAATAACGGCCATATACTTCATTTATTGCATTTTTTTACTCTCTGAACTATTGTCTTAATAATTTTAAATCATAGATATCGGGCAGTGGTTCTCAACCCTCTTAATGCTGTGACCCTTTAATATAGTTCTCTGTGTTGTGACGACCCCAAACATAAAATTATTTTCATTGCTACTTCATAACTGTAAATTTGCTACTGTTATGAACTGTAATTTAAATATCTGTGTTTTACAATGGTCTTAGGCAATTCCTGTGAAAGGGTCACTTGGCGCTCAAGGGGGTCACAACCCCCAGGTTGAGAACCACCAGTGTAGTGACTTTTTTACACATAGGCATGCATCATTGAATCATAAACACTTGGGGGCTTGCTGCAAAGAAAAAGTAATAATATCAACATGTTGTTTTTTTCTTTTTTTCTTTTTAATTTTTGGATTTTTTAATCAACCAGAGGCCAAAGAATGCTCAAATACTTTTACATGGAAATGCATTGGATAGATGTTTTATTTATTGCCACTGTCACAATCCCTGTGGCTTTAGGTTCTCTAAAACACCTGCTGAGACTGAGAATGAAGTCCCCTCAGGGTCGCGCTTCCCCGCGTTGGAGGAGAGAAGGCAGCAGAGAGTTTTCATGCACAATGGACCGTGGGACCCTTCTTTTTCTCTTCGTATATTTCACAAAATCAAACACCTCCACCAGCATTTCTGACCAATCTTAGAACTGCTGCTTCATGACTTCATTATGTGTCTTCTTAGAAACCGTGATGTCCAGCAGACATACCCTTCTACTCTTAGCATTCAGAGCCAATGGAAGCCTTTGGCCTGGACTCTTTTTAAAAGACTCCGCTATGGAGGAGAGAGAAGAGCAAAGAGTGGCGATCACTTGAAGGGCCCGAAGCATTAGAAATCATACATTTTTGGTTTTCATAAGCAGTCAGTTATGAATGTCCTAAATTTCCACAGAAAATTTAAAGAGATAACATTTAGATTACTATAGTTACGTATTAATTTCAGAAAATTCAAAACCAGTATCTATTCATCCATGTAGATTTTCTTGCTTAAACCAACTGGCTTGAATAAGAAGAGACTCAATTAGATTAAGAATCATCCACATATACAATCCTGTATGTATATGTACATACATATACATATAGTTTGAGGCCAGTCTGGTCTACAGGACAGGCTCCAAAAGTAAGGAGAAACCGTCTCAAAAAATAAAAACAAACAAAAACAAACACACCTTAAGAGAGTCGACGATTGTTAAAAGTACTCATCACATCTCCAGTCTTACATACAAAATTTTAAACTACAATATTGTCTCCGGTCTACAAAGAGATGTACAAGCAGAAGAAAGTTGTTCTCAAGGGTTTGATGGGAGATGGGAAGCTGAAAGAGCCACAGGGCTTTTCAATAAAGAGCCCTGCCTGAACTTAATTGACGAAAGAAAATACGGTTAATTTTGGGCTGCATACACGGCCTCAAACACCCGGCAGCAAAGTATAACCAGGTGAGGATGACTAGAACAGACATTTGTGAAAGACAAACCGTGACTCTGGTCTCAGAGGCCTCACATTACACTCTAAGAATGGGCCACTGTCACGCCAGGAAGGACGAATCACAGCCACTCCGACAATACAAAGATACTTCAAGCTTGTGCGGGGAGATCCCCTCACTTGTGTTTAGACTTGCTTCACTGTCTTTCTTCAGACACTGTGGGCACAACACACACTCGATGACTGTGACTTGGAACTGATGTCCTTTAAATGTATTCCCTTCTTCAAATCGTTCTTTTGTTTTGCCTTAGAAACCCTTTGGTGCTGGTTGACTATTGTAAAGCACAGTAAACTGTGACTCTGTTAAAGAAACCCACACCTCACATGCAGACTTTTGGGCAGGTCCTACTTGTGAATGCCCTTGTCTCCTAACCCTTATGCTTAGGCCTATATTAAAATATCTTTATTAACCCCACCCCAATAAAATAAAGTTTCAAAACTGGTATCATACTAGACTTGGTAGGTTACCATCAAATCCAGCCTCCCGCTTTCTGCTAGGTCCCTCCTGTTTCTGTACTGTCCCTGTTCGTATATGACACCAGTCCCTCCACTTACAAACTAGAAGTCTCTTTAGTGCCCATAAGTGATGTCCACAAAAGCCACTTTTCTCCTACACTACATTTTTCAACCCTGTGTTATTTACAGTCACACATTAGCTCCCCTAATGTTTTTTTTATTTTCTTATGGTTAAAATAAAATGAAATGAAAACTAAGGTCAAGAGAGTAGTTGTCACTGGAGTGTCTTCTGGCTTTATCTCCATGGTGTCTTTCTTCACTCTGGAGAACTAGGTTTGTATTTATTATCTGTGTCTGCTGCCTCCGATCTCTCTCCTCTTTCATACTGAATACCCTAGTTAAGCTTTTGTTCACCTCAACCATACCCTTCGGTCCCAGTATGGTGGAGGGCACATTCTCAGGACACTTGCTCTTGATAGCTGAAGGGCTCAGTCTTCTCCTCGTCTCTGGTCTTTGTTGAAGACTTGTCTGCCAACCAGGCCTTCCCACCTGTGTATTGTGTGGCAGAGTTTCCCATCTTCGCTCTGAGCCACAGCTCTTCCCTTTTCTAGTCACAAAGAGAATTCTTTTTCCTTTTCCTTTCTCCTTTTAGTTTTTATTGACATAGTTAGCAGTTCAAAATTTCTTACCATAATTCACTTTCGAAATTCAAAGTACATTTTGTGTTCAGAAATGGGCTCTGTCTAGACCTTAATCCACATACCCATGATTAGGTACATTCTGACTAGACAGAAATAGTGAGATTATTATTGTATTATTATAATACATGGGATCCTATGTCACCCTTCCAGACAACACACACACCTGAGTAGGATACCAAAGGTTTCTTCCCAGAGTAAGAGGCAGGAAGGACACAGGAAGAAATATTTCTTTGTAACAATGAAGGTCTTCAACAACTATATCATGAATGTCTTTTATATAAAGGACATTGCCCAAAATACAAATGCAGGCTTGCCATTGTGTGTGTCCTCAGGGAATATACAATCTACAATCAGAAAAGCTGGGGTTCATCAGAAATTCTCAACATTCAATTCAAGGATAAGACTAAGAATATTCTTCAGAATGTGTCAAGGAAACAATGTATTTTTAGAATGTTCTTTTTATAACTAAATAAAAATTATATATAAGAAGTATATATAACACACATGTACATCATACATACACACACATATACATATATATATATTTAATATATTTAATGAGAGGGTCAAAGGGATGGCTCGATGGGCACTTACCCAAGCCTGATGCCTGGGACCCACATGATGGAAGAGAGAATGAACTCCTGAAAGGTGTTCTCTGCCCACTGCACACATATATACAGGAACACAGAGCAAATAAAATGTGGAAAAATTAAGAATGTTGAACTATTTAGATATTATTTTCAGTAAATATTACTGTGTATAGTGATCTTTTTATATTAAGTATATAGCAATATGATTATAGTGTCGTCCAGAAAACCTAGCATTAGGAATGGTTAGTGATAGTTCTCATATCTTTATTTAAGAGACTCAGCAATAATAATTTAGAGTTTTAAGTGATCATTGCTATTTTTATTGATTTGTTTGCAAATCAATAAAACATTCACTATCATATGTAGGAAATTTAACATTAAAGCTGTACTTTTAATGAGACTTGTTAAACGGTAACATTCAAACAAAGTGGGGACATTAACATCAACACTATTTTCACTTCTCTTGCATTTATGTATAAAGAGAAATGTCTTCCCCTCTGTTTTAATGACATATGGGGTGTTTATTAATGCAATAAAAACCACCTCCTTCTAACAGATAAAAACGAACCGTGACACCCAGTTGCATTTGTAGAGCCTTCACCCATCACTCCGTCTTTCCTTTTTTGGAATGCAAGAGGTTAAACTCATTAAAAATTCAGCATTTTGTGTCATGAGCTACGGTGGGGGGAAGTGTGATTACAAGGTGTGGACTGGAGGGAGGATTAGAATTTTCGATGTTTCTCCATTACTGTTTCCTTCGAAATCTCTGCCTAGTGACAGATGCGGCAAGTCTGTGTTTACATTCTGCAGCCGTCCTCGCTGCCTAATTCCTACCCTCCGCACTAACCTGCAGAAAACTCGTGTTTATTCCCCACCAGAAACGCAAAATTTTAAACGTATATTGTGAAGATACAGCCAGAGCTCTCTTAGCCTGCAGGTCAGTACAGGGATGCCTAGAAAGGCTACCACGCTGCTCAGTCTCTGGCTATCACAAGAACTCCGGTTCCTTTGAATTTCTTATTTATTTATTTATTATTTATTTATTTATTTATTTATTAAAGATTTCTGCCTCCTCCCCTCCACTGCCTCCCATATCCCTCCCCCTCCCCCAATCAAGTCCCCCCTCCCTCATCAGCCCGAAGAGCAGTCCGGGTTCCCTAGAATAGTTGTCTTCAAATGGAAACGGGTAGGGGGGCAGGGGGAGTGGAGCAGGAACAACAAGAATCACTTTACATACTAATAATAACAATTTAGTTATCAAAACAGAACCAAACAAGTGTGCCTTTATACTTTCTTCTGAAAATTCAGCCTCCCAGGGCTCTAATAAGCAGGGTCTATAGTTCAGGAATGCACTGTAGCCCTCAGTTCAGAGCCTGTATCCTCATTTCAAAGAGAATCATCCACGCCGACATCCACCCTGTCAAGAAGCTCAACTTTGAGCTGCTAATGTAGAATAAAAATCAATATAAATTTTGATCATTTGATGAATATTTACTGCTTTCTTTAGTGTTTGGGGGTTTTGAATTGAAAAGTGCTGAATCAAGTCATTTTATTTTTTTGTGTTTGTGCCAACACCAATTTACTACCCTCCAGAAAGTTCCTGAACAAGATGTCTCAGGTGGCAGGCATGTTGGTTTTTCCTGTCAATCATAACAGTGTGTCACTAGGGGACCATAAACATTTCCCTTTCATACTCTTAGTGTTCCAAAAAGGAATCTTTTGATTATTTCCCTGGAAAAGGTAAGCCATTTCCTTATGCACTTTCCTCTTATTGTAAGCCTGGGCATCTGTTGTTTTCACAGTCAGCTAAGTCAAAATTGATACAATCTAGTAAAAGTTAAACACTTAATTAATTGGCTTCAAGGGTCATATACAATAAGCAGAATTCACAAATGGGTTGTTTCTCTGTGTAAAACTCAGCATCCTCCCGGGATAAAGACCTTTTGTGGACACCCCCACCAGTCCCCATATGCATTTTTCTAAAGAGTAACAAATATCATTTGATTGCTGTAATTAGTAGAAAGACTTCTCAGCACAAGACTTTACGTTTTTATTGTAAGTAAAAACATACATTAAGAGGGCTAGCAATTAAAATGTCCCTCAAGTATTAGTTACATGAGAAGAACAGCATGCCACCTTTTTATTATGATATATTGCTAGATATGTGCATACACACACGTGCGTGCAATTGATATTACATATACTCCTCACCTGAATATATACATGTGCATATATTCATATATGTGTGTGTGTGTGTGTGTGTAATACATATGTACACATAAATGTAACAAAAGCTTACTGTTCTATAGAATGTTTCTGTAGTGACTTCAAGATTGTGGACAATGGCCTTTTTCAACTTGAAAGACACTAACTTAATTGCCAGAACCCAAAAGGTAAGCAATTCTCATTGATGAAAATACCTTGCATGTAATAAAACAGCAGAAGACACAATAAAGAGACATTTTTGTTGGTTCCTATAAATTAAATAAAAATGGCAGCAGCTGTGTTTCCCATGGATGATATAGCTTTAGACAATTGCTAGACATTATGTAGACAGATGTTTTAAATAAAATAAGGTATTCAGATTGCTAGATACCTTGCTAGATATGAAGGCAATTATAGGATATCTTTGTTAAATTACATTTTTCATTTTTGTGAGGAGAAAAAAGAATTGTCCTGGAAACAGTACCAACAGGAAATGATCCTATATCTAAAACAGCTGGATACTGTAACTAATATAAATTTACGGGAATAAAAATGCGGTGTGCCTCTGGAGACATGCAGGAACATGCCATAAAAATAAATGAGAATATCAAAGTATTTAAAAAGGAGAAAATACATTTTATCTAGAAATTATATTGAGATATAGTCCACTGATTAATGAGAAATATATGGAGATGGAGAAAAAGGAACTTATGAAAAGTTACTTTCAAACTGCTAATATTTTATTTAAAGCTATATTTGTAGGAAATGCCAGTATTTTTTAGAAAACACCATTGCTTCTTATTCTATTGGCTTTTAATCATAATAACCCAAAGGCATATGCTGAGTCTAATTGGGAGGTTCTAAAGGAAACAAAGAATGTTTGCTGAGTGACCTGAACCCTCAATGTTAGATAAAATTATTGTAGCAAGTCACAAAGCCATATGTATAGGAACTCCCCCTGCCATGTGTACTCCCTTATCCTAGTTCCTGTTAGCTAGTTCAATGGGGAAAAAACATCTTATATGCCCGACTCACACGACAAAGGCGCAGGCGTTAACTATCAACATGGAGTGTCTCCAGTTTTGTTCATTTTAATTCTCTTCAGTTAAAGACAAAACGCATGAGCCCACAAGAATGGTTTAAGAAAAAAGTATGGGTAGAAATCTACCTGCAGAGTCGCCGAGACAGCTTAGCAGGTGAAGGCACTTGTTACTAAGGCTGACAAGTTGAGCTCAGCCCCCAAAGCTTCACGATGGGAGAAGAGAACAGATTGCTCTATGCACGCCCCTACCCACAAACACATATATGGAATAAATATTCAAACAATATGTTTTAAAGAGATCTCTGTGCACAAGAGATGTGAGGAAGCCTAGGAAAGCACACCCACGTCTTGGGTATTCACGCTTCTCACCGAAGTTTAAAACTTATCTGGGACCAGCACCTTGGAGGTGAGGGTCTCAGACAGGAAGAGACCATGAAAAGTCAGGATTCCCCATGGGCCCCAGAGTCAGAAGAGTTCACACTGATTCAGAAGCAGGCTCCTGTATGTCCGTGGGGGAGGAGAGCTCAAGAGGAGGGAAGGGGAAGCGGGACATACACGTGAAATAGAAGATCCAGGGGACAATACGCAATGTCTTGAGAGAAAAGAGCAGTTACCAGAACAGGGCCCGCAAAACCAAGATTTAAAGTGAACCCTAAACATCCGGGCAATAATTCTCTCCTTTCTACAGGTTCTCCAAATACTAAAAAGAACAGTTACTATTTTTCTGGGAAATCTGTGTCCATCCACCTCCCCCCCCCACACACAAACACACACATACTTCTGCAATAGTGATGTGTGTGTGTGTGTGTGTGTGTGTGTGTGTGTAGACACAGGTTGACCACTGACCATCAAGACTGCTCACAGCGTGTAGAACTTGCCATGCTGCTTAGATCGTCCTGAAAATTCTTACTAGGTCCCTGAGCTGTCATAGTCATTAAAGACGAACAAAAGGAAACACACATGTCTTTTTTCCCTCGTCCTTGATGACTCTATTCCTATCAGACATACTGGTAGTCTAAGTAAGAATCAGGGTAAGTAAAATCATATCCTCCATTTCCTGTTGCTTTTGATTTTAGGGGCAGAGTGAACAGATGAGCTAACGACATGAATAGGGTGCTACGCTCTAAATCTATTTTGGTCAGGACAAACGTTTCTCTGAAACAGTGGTTTACATCTGACTTCTTATATTGGCAACCCATGTGCTGTAGCCACGCCTCTCTAGAGTCTTCAAGGACCTGCAGTATTCGGTCTTCATTGTCTGTCACTCCAGTCTGCTGAGCTGCTTGTCTTCCTGGTGTCTGGACACATCTTTCAACATTACTGCTGGTACGGACCTACTTCCTTTCCACTGTGGCCATGTACTTCTTTCTGCCTGGAATTTTCCTCTTCTCCTTTCCACAGGACTAGCACATTTTTATCTTCAAAATCTGTGTTAATGGCTTTTCTTTCCCCAATTATTCTCCCTCTCTTTCTCCTCCCCACCCCTCCATCTTTGAGTTTCCTGATATTTATGACTATATTCGACTCATTTTTGTTTTATCTTGCTAGTTTGCATTTTTCTAGAATATGAGTTTTTAATTCAGATTCCACTAGAAAGTAAATTTCACAATGGCAGGGACCATGTCTTTTTTGTTTGTTTGTTTGTTTTAGAGAATTTTGTACATGAGTCTACATCTTTCTTATTCACGATTGCCTCTCAAGTGCCCAGAAAACTGTGCTGAATGAGTGGGCGAGTTGTTGTGTGGGAATTCCTGAATTACCTTGCTGATAGTCTTGCTAGAAGAAGCTGTGTCCTTGCAGGAGTAGCGTCATGGTTGGTTCTAATCAGAATCTGAGGCTGCTAATCTGACTTTAAGATGGGATTCTGACCAAAATCACCTGAAATTCTTTCTTTTCGTTTTCCAAGACAGGGTTTCTCTGTGTATCTCTGGCTGTCCTGGAAGTCACTCTATAGATCAGGCTAACCTCAAACTGACAGAGATCTACCTGCCTCTGACTCCCTGAGTGCTGGGATTAAAGGCATACACCATCACCACCTGGCTTCACCTGAAATTCTTTTCACAGTTTAAAAAAATGGATTGGGCTTCCCTGAAATTTGTGAAAGCCCTTGGCCATTACTAATTCCTTCTGTTACAGATTTAAATTTACAGTGACATCTAGTTTTAGCAGGTCTCTCTGAAATAAGATAAAGAATTCAATAAACTCTGACATGAAGAAACTTTATCTTGTTTCAGACAATGGTTGAAAATGGAATTCTTAAAGATATAGTAGAAAATAACACTTGATCATACAAACAGGATAGGAAAAAAATCCAGTCCCAAAGGAGCCAAAGAAAGAGGAAAATGCTTAATAACTGGTCAATCCCCTAAATGGATCACTTTCAGACTCCTAAACGTCCCCAGCTCAGCTGCCAGTTTTCAAAGGGGAGGGGATGGAACAATTTACCTGTTGAAAGGCCAGCAATTATTTTTCAAGTTTTATGATATACATCATAACCCTACACAGAATCTGTTCTATGTGCAACTTTCAGAATCTAAACATCAATTATTCTTGTAAGTATCAGTGAGGTTGCGTTTCTTCACAAAGAATGTCTTCAAAATTATTTTAATATTTCCATTTCAGATTTAATAGTTTATGTTCTTTGCTACATCTAAGACGGAACAGTCATCTTTTAGATGCTAGTAGCTTGCTTCATCATATGTATGTATGTATATGTACATATATCCTAATTACTCTTCTATTGCTGTGAAAAATCACCATGACCAAGCTATCTCATAGAAGAACCAGTTTCCTGGGGACTTGCTTACAGTTTCAGAGATTAGAACCCATGACCATCAAGGTGAGAAGCAGGGCAGCAGCAGGCAGGCAGGTGTGGTGCTGACACTAACTGAGAGCTTACATTCTGATCTTTAGGTTAGGCTCGAGACAGAGAGATAACTAGAAATGTCATTGACTTTTGAAAGCTCAAAGTCTGCCCCCAGTGACATGCCTTCAACAAGACCACACCTCCAAATCCTTCCCAGACAGTTCCACCAATTGCCACTAAGCATTCAACTGCATGTCCTATGGCCCATTATCATTCAAACCACCACAATTAAAATGTGAAACTAGGTGACAGACATTCCAGTAAGTGTATCAACAGCACAGCAAGTGACTGACAAAAAGAACACAAGGCCTGTGTGACTTTCCAGTCTTTTTGTCTTTGGCAGCATTTTCATAGTGTGGGTCCTTTAGCATTTCTGCTATGCCTTACATAGCTAAAACTCATCATACAAATCGTACTCCAAGGCATAAGCAGAAATATATTAAGATTTGAAAAATGACCCAGGAAGAAAAGAGCTTCGTGCGTAGGAAAGAGTTATCTTGGATGCACTGGAATCTCTCATGCCTGGGGACAGTGAAGTGACCCTGATTATGAAGTGGCACTGGAAGTTTTCTTGTGATCTGCAGGTGTGTGACACACAGATCACAGGACCACCTAGTGCATGCATCATCACGCAGGCTTCTGCTAGGTTACTCAGCATCAAGCCACCATCTACATGAGTAAAAATCCACAAGAGAAAAAGGCCTTTGTAAGAGTCTTTCCATAATTATGTGATCGGGCAATCATGACTGCTTGATTCAAAAAGCCAAGAAACAAAGCGCAAGAGCCTCCATGGTTATCAATTGCTTCAGAATAAAGCTAAATGTCTCTCCATCGTATTTATGTTTCTTTTAGGGCTGGGTCCTGGTTCCCTTTCCCACGTATCCTCTGTGAACTCCTTTTCTGACAGAAGGCCAAACCCACCTATACTCACATCAGACTAGCCTGTGCCCTCCCACAAAGAAGGCTTCTCCCTCTCTCTATTCAGTCATTCTCCATTTCTGCAGCTCCTCTTTCCTCCTGTTTTTTTTTTTTTAGGCTAACTAACCTCCTCCTCACCTGAATGTCCTGGTTGTATAATCTGTCCGTCTCGTATAAAAACTTCCCTTTCTACGGTGTAGGTGTTCATGGTTCCTCTATACGATTATGTTGTAAGTATCCCCGGGAGTGAGACATGAACCAGATTTATTTTGGTATCATCCACAGGATCCACAGATGCTCAGTATATATTGATTGACTGATTGAATGGGTGAGTGAGGTCAAGGGAGGGGTGGGAATGGCTTAATTCCATCTGAGAAGAGTTAAAGATATCTGCTTAGTAATTAATTCAGGAATTTGGAGCAGGAAAAATATAACATGAGCCTGCAATATCATCTTGTAAAGAGAACAAAGAGGCAGCAATCGACTGTAGACAAAAAGACACAGCTGTATCCTGAAGGAGGTCTTCAGGCAAAGGTAGGAAATACACACTCCAAATAGAATCACTTCGAGTCATAGTTACATACTGAACAAATATAAGTAAATTTGTACATAACTGTATTCAAACCAGAAAAAGAGACAGTAATGCCATCATGGGAGGTGCTGTTGTTCTAATACATTATTCCACATTGTTCCACTGGGAAGAAAAATGGTATTAGAACATTAGAAGAGAAATTGTAATTATCAGAGTGGGCACAAGAAAACTTTATGGTTTTTTTAGCAGCTAGAAATGTATAATAAACATTACAACTAGTAGTCCACCATTTTGTAACTTCCAAAGAAATAACTGATTGTAGCATGCATCACCAACGGATATGTTAATGGGGAACTAAATCCCCACAATGCACGGGGTCCACTGACTGACTACCTGCTAACTCTAAGGGGAATCTCAACTGCATGAAGGTCTCCGGACACCTCCTCCACACAAACAGTAGAAATCCTTACAGGAGGTGCCACCCCCAGAACCACGCATGTTACGAAGCCTCAGTCCAAGAACGCTTCTTGACTGAAATTTCAGTTTATAACAAACAATGACTGGGGAAGAACTAGAACTGAAAGAAAAAGAAATTAGCATGAATCTAGAACATGAAGCAATTCACACAATAAGTCACCTGGCTCATTCAGAGTGGCAAAGGATGGCGGGACATTAGCATAAATGGCATTTTGAGCAGAAACAAAAATGACCAGGGTCACAGTCAAGGCAGCTGTGAGACGAGAGTTTCTGTCACTCTGGCATTAAATACATTTTTACTTTATTTTATTTGATCTAAGCTGTATTCTTGTAGCTTTAGAACCAGACCTAAGAGAATAATGCTCTCAAAAACTGATAAACCGCTTGATGTTAGGCATAATTCCACACTCGGGATGAAGATGCAGCTCTCTACCATTCCATAGAACATTTGGGAAGAAGCATAAGTTTTATATCCTATATAATTGGAGATTTATGTTTTATAGTTCTACCTCAAATAATCTATTATCCTATGAAATAATTATTGATTTTACCCCATTATTTGACACGGTATGCAAATTATAAATCAATTGGATGTCTAATCATGACCTCACTGCCTATCACCTAAACTGGGTGTATTCATTGGGCATCTGGATTAATGCTTAAATGATGGATAGCAACATTTTGCTTAATCTAAGATCACTTGCCAATAGAATTAGATACTTCTCATAATAGATTACATATACTTTTGT